AAAATGGAATACAAGACACGTCAATGGCATGAGAACTGCTTCTGTTGCTGTGTCTGCAAAATGGCCATTGGCACTAAGTCGTTCATCCCTAGAGAGCAGGAGATCTATTGTGCTGGCTGTTATGAAGAGAAATTCGCTACTAGATGCATCAAGTGCAACAAGGTGAGAATCCAATTTTTCTAAACGAATGCAAATTTTTCAAACTACATTTCCAGCTCTTAAGAAAAATCTGACAAAATATTTTTTTTTTTCATTCTTTCTCTAGCTTGAAAGAGTAGTTTGCGGCAGTGTTGGCAAAATTTTAAACTGATTACGGACTAAAAATTAACGATTAAAATGTTAATCGCGATTATTGATTAAAACTAATTAGTTGTAATCGTGTACATATACGATTAATGACGTATACCGTACAAGGGTTTTGTAAGACATAGAAAATCCGCCTAATATAAGAGCGAATACCATGCGTGTGTTGTAATGCCTCATATCCTTAGTGGCCATTTTAATGATTGGCCCTGCTTAAAACCGATTGGCATTTTTGTTTAACTCATCTTCTTTAAATTATTTGTATTTCTTCACCATGACACGATTTTAGATACATATCGTTACCTTAATATAGAAAGGCCCTAACTCATATAGTCGCTGAAATGCAAAAAAGCCGTAACTGACTAAAATTGTTTATTGCTTAAACCGATGTGGGGACTTATATATCGATGAAATGCATCATAATCAATCAAAAGGGAATTTTGAATATTTACTTAGTTACGGCTTTTTGTATTTCAGCGACTGTATGAGTTAGGGTCTTTCTATATTAAGGTGACGATATGTAGATAGACATTAAAATTATATATCTATGCACCAGTGATGTAAAAGTACTTTTTTCAGCCCCTTTTTAATTTGAAAGTACATTCGGTACACATAGACCTTTTTCGGTACATTTTCAACTCTCTTCTTTTTTAGACATCGCCTACGTTTCTCTGTCATATGGGCAGACAATGATCAGAGATTTGTTAAGGTTCATTTAGGAGCCCCCTACTAAGCCTTAAGAAGCACCAGCGGACAAGAGTTAAGCTTCCTTCGATCCCTTACTGACAGTAAGCTGACTCCTAAGCAGGTACCGAAAATAAAATTTATTTTTTTAACAGTCAAACTTGGTCAAATATTTTATAGCTTCGAAGTAATGGCTGTCAACAGTGCCATACCCCCCTTATTTGTTGCTAAGAGGTAATTTGACTTCCTAGTTCTCCGCCAAAGCAATTTCGTTTGATTCTTTCTTAAGATTGAATAAATGCCCGAAATATTCAAATCTAATTTCATTTAATGTGAAATAGGTCAAAACACATTTTTAAACATCGATTTATTTACATACATAAATTATATAGTAGACCTCTCAGAAGCTAAATCAACATCTTGGCGGCATACGAAGATACCAAGCGAATGCGAGATCCTGGTTTAAATAGAGGGTTTGGGCGAACAAATGCTTCAGAAGCACTAAAATGAGTCCCCTTGTCTAAATCTTTGTTTGGCCTCGAAAAGTTCTTCCAGTTTTAACAGATCTCAACGTATTATAGAACGCAATCCCAAAATCATGCGTGGTATATTTTCGTCATATTTTCTTACTGTTGAACAGGTTTCACTAGATGTGAAATGTGTAACTAAATCTACATACAAATTTTTTAGGTAAATTCGTCTGCTGTTAGGTACATTTTTTTCCTCAAATTAAGTACAATGTGAAAATTTTATTTTCCATCCCTTCTATGCACCCCAACCTAGAGATTTATTGCGCCCTCTACGCTTTATAACAATTCTTCTAAGCCTCGACCGCTCAGAAAGTGCTCTCACTTCTTCTGTCTATGGCACAATAGACGAGAATATCAAGCATGTCCCCAGCTTATTCATATACCTCTTCATATGCATTACTGGGTTGGTATTCTTCTACGTTTCTCTTTTGGAAGGGTCATTAGTTGATGAAATCTCTTCATATCAAACGCCATAGTAAGCACTTTGTCTTTCGTAACTCTAATAAGCTTCGCCAAATAAGTTCTATCAATGTGTCTCTCCCCTTCCTGAGCTCTTCTTCGATAGTAATGGGCCCTCAGCGAGGAAAGACTCGGGCCGACTGGAGTGTTCGATGCTGCCCCTTTTGCAATTAGTCCGCTATCTGATTTCATTCGATTCCCTTGTGGCCTGGGTGCTAGTTGAATTTTCTTTTACCTACCAAGGCAATCACTCTCAATTACTCAAGGACTAAGGATTATTTGATTTCACACAATGAAAGAGCCTTGGTGACCGCTTGACTCATCACTTATGATTAGGATCCTTTCAATTCGAAACTTTCCACGTAAATTTAGCTACGCGCACAAATTGATGGTCATCTCTTGAAAAAAGAGATGGCGGAAGCGAAGAACTTTGCTTCTCTGCAGGATATGACTTTGCTTTTTCAAATTCCTCACTAGAAAAATTTAGTCAAATTCGGTTGGCGGTCTCTTTAGTAATTAGTTGGAGAGGTTCAAGTACGGAATAACATACTTAGACCATTCTCGTCGAACACAGGCGCCTCTCTCTTGTTATATGTATATACACATATCCGTCATTGTAGCTTAGTGAGTGATTTCCCTCCCTGGCTCGAATGTCCTTGACCTATCGCCCGCTTTAGGTTATACAAGCATCTAAGGTTTTTGGGGCTGCAACGCCATGACTTTCCTGAGTTTGGTGTCCACGATTACTTCCAGATACTTCACCTCTCTGGCAACGTTACTCGCGAATTCATCCGGAGTTATGTTCCTCCTGTCCGACAGAAATATTTTTTATGGTAAAATGAATAAGGACTATTTTTGTGTGGCTTAAGTTCAGCACCAACTTCGCACACCATTCCTTAGTGAGTTGTAAGCCTCTTTATACTATATATATATGTAATGGAATGCAATGATACTACATACTTCACCCTCTTCTAAGCTCCGTAGGAGAAGAGCTAGAACCCTTCTGTGCAGGTCGCGCTTTTTAGTCTTTAGTTGTGACATGCCCCCGACTAGTCCGGTTTCAGAAATTTTAGTTTCAAACAGCCATTACGCGGGTTTTTAACCTAGCGCCCATAAACGAATAATACAGGGTCACATTTATATTCCCGCGAAAAGCATTTTTTAGATTTAAATCTATACTCTTGTAGGGTACCCAAGACTTGTCCCAGATACTTTCCTTGTAAACTCGGCTACTTCCCTATTTCCCGGAATACCGCTATGCCCGGCACTAAGTATGTATTGGCGATTTGTTGGCAAAGAGTAGTATGTAAGTTTCTTTTACATTCCTGAAAACACGTATTGAGTTAGTCGTAGCCATGGACTTTGGCGCAGCTTAAGTATCTGCAACGAATGCACACTTTTTTGCGACGAGGTCCATTACGCTTACCAATTTCATTGATCTAAACCTGAAAATCACTTTAACAATCTTTCAAAATATCCTCGACTCCAACAGCGGCCGCTTCTTTATAACTAGAGTCCGAGCAACGCCTAAAAATATAAAAATTTATTGTTTAACAGCAGTCGACAATGGCAATGGCTAGCGTCCGTGGTATTGCTGCCATGAAAAAACGTCTCTTAAAAAATCGTTTGTCATTCGGAGGCAGCGTGAAATTGTAGGTTCCTCCATTTTTTTTGCAATATCAATTGCCTCGCTTCTTTGCGAATTTGAGCCAGCTATTCACTGGCATGTGCAGACAAGTTTTTGGGAACTTTATCATGCCGTTGTGCTGATTGGCGCCTTTGTTTCACTGTCCACACATGGGTGCCGAAACGAAGAATATTTTCACCTTAGCATTTTCATTCATGCGAAAAACACGCCCTAGCCATCGCAATCGCCAGACCATTCCGTATCCGCGTCGCCCACACACGAATTGGGCCATACTAGAACTGGCGTCGTATAGAAGTTCTCTCGAATACCACCACGATTTAATACAAAAGATCAGAGAGTAAATCAAATAAGTTTTTTTCACAAAATTTTATTAAAGTTATTACTTCATGCATTCATAACAAACTTATACATTTTAAATTAATATTTCAGGTAATCACCTCAGGTGGTGTCACCTACAAGAACGAGCCATGGCATCGCGAATGCTTCACATGCACCCACTGCAATATCACATTGGCCGGACAACGCTTCACCAGTCGCGATGAGAAGCCCTACTGTGCCGATTGCTTTGGTGAATTATTCGCCAAACGTTGTACAGCATGTGAGAAACCCATTACAGGTAAGATCACTCACTATTTTCCAAAGCACTGCTTCAGTAAAATTTATATTTCTTATAATCGACAGGCATTGGCGGCACCCGATTCATCTCGTTCGAAGATCGCCATTGGCATCACGATTGTTTCGTGTGTGCCAGCTGCAAGACCAGTCTAGTCGGACGCGGTTTCATCACCGATGGACCCGATATCATTTGTCCCGAATGCGCCAAGCAGCGACTTATGTAAGAATGAGGACGTCAGCTATGTTGTATGTGAACCAAAGTGAACATGCATAGCGCGTGGCATGATGCTCTCTATCAAGCTATTAAAAAAACAATGGAAAATTCAATTGAAAAATAAGAAAAAAACGAAATATTAATAAAGCTTACAGAAAAATTTATGTATGTAATTTAAAAATTCAAAAAGATCAATGGAATATTGAAAAAGTATATATTAATTAATAAATGTATATTAGACAACCTTATCAGCCTCGAAGCGAAAAGGCGTGGAACTCCTTTTGAGCAATAAAATATTCATATTCAGCAGTGAGAGAAAAAAAATTAAGTAAAATAATTTATGTAAAAGAATTGATTTATCTACTAGCTGTTAGTTTACTTAAATTTACAAAACGCTATTATTGTTATAGATATCAGACACATAAGCTGAATTATACAATTTTCTAAAAATCTTACTAAAAATGTATTTGGCTTAAAACTATTTGCGTACTTAGGAAAAAAAATTGGATGTGGATACTCCGCGGTATGTATATGAAATTATTTTTGAGAGAAGCAATGAATGGGCATTTTAAAGTTAAGAAAAGTTAAAAAACTCAAACAGAAGCATGCAATTTTAAGATCATAAGAAACAAATTTAAAAAGTAATTGCCAAAATCTCCCTTAAATCTGTAACTATTTAGAAAGCTTGATATAACCACAGCAGATAAATGCTTACCACTAAGCCATTTTTTTGTTATAAATACATATGTACATGTTTAATTGCATGCAACATAAGAATGCCACAAAATAATCTACTTAATTTAAATGATTGCAAAGAGCCTTAAAACTTGGAAAAAAATAATAATTAAAAAACAAAACTAGTATGTTTTTAAGCTTCTTCGAATTAAATTCAGACAAAAGCACAATTCTTAACCCGGGGTCTTAGCTATTATATTTAATTTAATAGGAACACAGCTCAATTTACGAATGATAATAATTTATTAATTTTCTGTTAATATATATATGTAAATATATATGTATATATATTTGCATACAATTTTAATCCTAATTTATTTTGGTTTACTTACAAAAACATAATAATTGTTTGTTCATTTCTTTAAACATTTTAAAAAAATATTTCTTTCTATCAACTATGCTTGTCAAAACAATCCTAACTAATTTAAATTAATTTAGTTTAGTAATAAATTTTGAAATTGTCATTCAAATGAATGTACTTACATATTTACATACACATATGTGCATAATTACGTAGCCTGTGCCCTTAGCTTCCTATAATTATGTGCATACATACAGGTGAATGCATGTACGTATTTTACTGTAAGATGTGAGTAGATTCTATAACAACAATTGATTTTGAATGCTGAAATAAATCAAAATACTGCGAAACCAATTTTGATGTAATATTAAAATATTAAAAATGAAATAAAGAAATAAACAGTAAAAATGGAACTGTACTTTTTTTCGGAGCTTAGGAGTGAAGCAGAGCACAGGAACCAAAAGCAATTACATACATACATACATACATAATTTAAGTTGGAGTGCTGCTGACCGACCTCCTTAACCCGAGTCTGCCCAACACCTTTTGGGAATAAAATTCAAAGTCAGAGAAAAGCATTCAAATTTTTATTTTATAAAATATGTTTGGTTGTTGTTGCTGATTCAAATTAAAACAACAACAACAACAAACAATTCTTAAGCAAAAAACACAACCGACTTCAATTCTCATAGGAGTTTAGGAGTACCGTTAATTTTTTCATGATCGAAAGTTCGGATGTAAACCAAATTAGTATGGGGCCACCTGTGAGACACTACCTTCCCTTTTCCAAATCGGTTGACGTAGTCCAAGGTTATGCGGTAACATATGTACATACATAAATAAAAAAATATTCCCATGAATTGATAACCTTCTCTTTTTTGAAGTCGGTTAAAAATTCAATCATTAAAAATTTTATACATCTTTTACTTTTACCCATCGTACAATTCCATAAGTAACGTAACTCTTCTTCTTACCGTCTTTTTTTCTGACAGGCTGTAGGTGTGCGTTTGGCAGACTGTAGGTGTGTTTTTGGTTAGCGTTTGGTGTTTTTTATTCAGTGTGTTAGTGTATTTTGAATAAATTGTAATAGAAAAGGAAGAAATTGTAATAGAAATGAAGGAAATTTTAAAAGATAAGAGCAAATATCAAAAAACAGGTGATCTCAGCTGTAGGCATTTTTTTGCCAATCAGCTGATAGTGTTTTAACTTAAGAGGTGTTCGCACGAAGCGGTTTTGCATTCAACTTTTGCGTTCAACTCACGCAGGGTTGCACGAAAAAAAAAGTTGAATGAATAAGTCTTGGCTGGCGACCAATTTTGTTGAAAGCGATTAGTTGAAAGGCCGTTCAACCAAAAGTAGAATGCAAAGTTGAATAATGCAAACGCCTTTTTATGGCGAATTTCTTGATATATTTTGATATTTTTAGCCATTCAATTTTTTTCCGTACAACCCTGCGTGAGTTTATTGCAAAAGTTCAACGCAAAATCGCATCGTGCAAATGGCTTTTTAGGAAGCCGTACGATGCTTTTATCATTGAACAAACAGCTAGGTAGGACATTTTCAACTCCAAAAGCTTTACGACAGGCATGCCCAACACCGGCAGAACTCCATAAGCAAGTGCCCCATGAACCAAATAGAACAGATCCGACCGGTTGAGAAGCAGCCATTTGTAATAGCTATTGAGAAATAAGTGTGTGACGTTCCTAATTTTGAAGTTTGCTATTTCTGTTTTGTTTCTTTCTTTATGTGTATTTTGTCGGTGGTTTATTTCAGTGATTTTTAAGCGATTTTCAATAAATTTTTTGTGCAAATGTAATTAAAATGAAGTGCCCGGTGATTGGTTGCAAAAATACGTACAAAAATAATAAATTGGTTAGCACAAACATGTGCTACAAAATTGCTTGCATTTTTTCTTTATGCTTCGTCTTCATATTCATTGTTTACTTTTCAAAGAAAATAACATGGCGCCGAAATTACAAACGTCAGCCAGAAAATTACTTTTTTCTTTTGCTTCATCTTGTCAGATCTTGTGTAGTTGGATCATGCAAGTGCCCTGCGCTGGGCACGGCTGCTTTTAGGCCCGTCAGAATGGGTACTTGTACGTCAATAACGGAAAAGTATACGAAGAAAGTGGCGTACGTACACAATGAAGGTGTTGCGTCTGCAAACAAAAATCAGCTGTTCCTTATGGCCGCGTACTTGGTATCCACACAAGTCAATTTTTTAGATACAATAGCAAAACATTCAAATTTGTTTACTAATATATTCCCACTTCTTTTGATGTCTTCATCACTGTCTCTGGCTTTTCAAAGACAGTTTATTGTCTGGATGCCTACTTTACTCAAACAATGTGTAAATTATGTGCATATTATCATTGGTCTTGTCATGTGTAAACGCGGGGTTATACAACTGTCAGCAGTGACGGACTAACGGCGCGTTTACATTGGACAATGCTGTCAAGCCAATGAAGATATACGTATTAGTTGTCAAAAACGCATGCATGGAAAAGTATGCATGTATTAGTGAAAAAGTGTGCATGAGTTGTTATTGTCATGACAGTATTGTCCGGTGTAAACCCTAAGTTAGGTGCGTCAAAAGTTCAGTGTTGGCCAACGTTCGTTGGGTCCGTCGACGCAAGGGTTGTCAATCTGACGCTCTCTATGCAAACACACACAAGTTTTGTTCCACACGAGAGAAATCGGCTGCTAGAGTACAACTCCACAACAAGCTTTTTCATCTGTTTCATTTTGATTCTCTAAGTTCTACGTTCCGTTAAGTTTAGTTGCTACAGTCAGGGTTTTACAGATGTCCGCAGTTTATGCCGCCAAAGCAAAAACAAAATACATGTAAATCTTTATTTTTGTACTCCTGCTATCACCTTATTTTAGGTTCTTTCCCGTACAACCCGGATCCGGTAACTAGAGAATAACCGAAAAATTTGCTCTCAAACATGGAATAATGTTCAGAAGAACGCGAATTTAAGAAAAAAAACTTCGTGCCCAGAATTTAAGAAATAGCGGTTCTTGTTATCGATACTTAAATGCCAACACTTGGAAATTGAATTTTGATTTCAATGGGCGTGTTCATAAGACGTAGCTGTTGCTTAACCGTTGGCTATTTTTGTCTTAGAAACGCACTGTTGAGTAGCTCCGCTCAGCTCAACAATGAGCAACTTTCCGCAATTTTTTTTCATTGGAAAATTTTTACGCTACCTGAAGTCAACGTGTTGGGCTTAGCCTAAACAGCTGATCGAAAAGACTTACGTCGCTTATATTAAATTTAAGGCCGCTTTATTAGGTGGCTGTTGTAAACAAATTTATTCAATTTTATATTACTGATGTGATAAGTAACTAAAATATTTTATAATACTACGTTTATAATAAATGTTTTTAAAATGTTTTCTATATAATTATACACTATTTAATTCATTATAACACTGAGCGATTTTTTCAACACGGCGGTAGCTCAGCGCTGAGTTCTAAATACTTTCGGCACAACTATCTATATTTACTGCAATTTCATTTGTTTCATTTATCAGCTGATTATTTGGCAGCATTTTCATCAAGCCGTTTCTAAGACGTTATTGTTGGATTCAACAGTTGCCAACAGTTTCGTAGCAGATGAACTAAACAGCTAGGTCTTATGAACGCGCCCATTAATAAAAAAAGTAAATAAAGATGGCAAATAAATGTAATCACAAATCAGCTGATATGCACTTTGCCACTTTATCAATTTTTAGTTGCGATCCCGTACGAGTCAGAAATAGTCAGAATCAGTCAGATTTTACTGGAAATCGATCCCGTACTTGGTTCTCTGACTATTGAGAAGACAAAAAAGGTAGTAAATACGGTTCTCTCTCTGTCAGAAGTTACCAGTTTTAGTCCGAGAATTTTTTGCTGGTAAATTCTGGCAAATGTGTCAAACGATCAGCTGTAGTGTGTTTGGCAACCAAATTGTAAACAAAGGAAAAGTGCACTCTGCTAATTCATGTGCAAGGTATTTAATTACTTGTTTAAGTAGATTCTAATGAATTTTAAAGTATTTTTGGTTATTTACATGGGTGAGCTGAGTGTGTTTACATACAAAATAAGCAAAAATTTACAACCAAAATTTGGAGGTTATGTTGAAGCTGACAGAAGTTACCATTTTTTACTAGAAATCGATCACGTACTTTTTAATGTTACTCTCTCGCTCTGAGCGAATTTTTATTTTTTGACAGTTTTACTAGTCCGAGTCCGAGGAATACGGGATTGCACCTTTTACCAGGAGAAAAAGTCCGGGCTGTTTCGGGCAGGAAGAAGAAGACACATACGATCCAATACGTTCCAATTTTCGCTCTTCGTTACCAATTTTTTGAGTACGGAAATGATTTCTGGGCTGTTTTGGGCACCACGAGATCCCGCGTTGCGTATGGGAAAGAACCTACTGTTTCGTTATAACGCTCTTTGTGAGTGTAGTTCTCTCAATTTTCCCATTCTTCTTCTTAATATATCTGGTATCTTCTTATTATTATCTGTTAGAAAAGAAAATATACAAAGCCAAAAATTCGCCTTGAAATGAACCAAAATTAAGCAAAGAACACGTAATTTGTTGGGTACAAAGAAAAATAAAATTATAACTGTTCGGCTCAAGTTTGTGCTAACCGATTCAAAATACGCGCGTGAATTTCAAAAAACGACATTGCTGTCGAATCTTATAATATAACATTGCTTTGCGAACGCATTGCGTTGGCACCCTGCAATCCCTGCCAACTTCGTTGTACGAGACAACCGACATATCACTGAAATTTCAAC